TATATATATATATATATATTACCTTAGGACACACATCTTAAACAGAATGCGATAACGAAATCGGAAGTCATCGGTTGCAAGTTTGTTGATAATGTAGGTAGATACTTAATTAAAATCGTACTAGAGCTGCACAATGGGCTATTGACGACAATCTGGGAAACATCCCTGAGGATGATCCGAAGACATGCCATTGTAATTTTGATCCTCTGCAGAGGAAATGGCTTCCCTGCTTTGGTAGCACGACGACCTGTGCGAGAAGTCGAGTTCATAATGTAAAGGAAAATATTATTGAGAAACCAACTGTTCGTCAAATGTTGGACACGTTCTGTTTCCGATTGATTTACCAATGTTCTAGGTAGTTTTTTCAGTTCTTCTGTCTTTTCTTTGGGGAAATTTTGCTTCTTATTGCTGCTGCAAAAAAGGTGTCCTACTCTTCCAATGATTCTGATAGAACTTAATGAAAACTTAATAACTAAAAGCCTGAAAATATTGTCCCCGCTAGAGGGCGTATTCAAGCGTTGCAATCGGGAATAGCAGGTGCTTAATCTTTCTTTATGGATGGTGTTTTCTACACTAGGGAACGCTGCAAGCTCGGTACCGCCTAAATTTCCGGGTTACAGTTTCCGTTGTATTTTAAAGCCATTTGGCATCATTGTGTTTTGAGATTCTTGCAAACAATGTATTTGATTACTTATTACTTGTGTTTACAATGCTAAAAGTGTTAACACTAACATAAGATGGTGTAGAAAACACACAGCTTGCACAGAACAAACACACACACAAGATGCTGGTGCACAGCTTGCAACAAGAACAAACAATAATAAACTCATGGAAAGAGGCCAAATCGAGACTGCGAAAAAAGCGAGTTATTCAAAGTCTAGCAACCATGTCACATTTTTTAACAATATATCTCTAAATAACTAAAACAAGTTTTCACTTCAAACTCACCAGAATTGCAAAATAACATTAATATCTTATGAAATACAGCAGATTCGAGCTCAGAAATTATCTAATTTATTTCTTTTATTGAAAACAAAATTATCCGTTTGAAAATATCGCCTAGCAGAATAACATGTAGTAAGCAGCAGAAAACTTTCTAACCGGAACTAGATCAGGCATACAGCTCGAGATTGTTATTATTTACATTTCTACTGAAAACACCATCCATTGTGCCGTATTAAAATTAAAATGTTTGCCACTTTTTCTTATGTCGGAGAAATCGAATCTCGTTATTCAAAAGAAGAAAGACATATAGAAATTCTAATATCTAAGACATATAGGAAAAATATTTGTAAATAAAACGAAAAGTATTTTACTTAAGAATGTAATTTAATAAGAATGGATTTATATTCTTATTGGATAATTTAGAGAAATCTTAATCCTTGAAGAACTTGTTCTTTCTCATATTAAGTATTTTAATTTTACATCCCATAATTTTCTGACTCAAGCAAATTCAACTTTACAAAACGTAAATTATACAAAAACGCAGAATATTAGATCATTCACATTTACAGAGCAAATTTTTGAAATTTAAATTTTTTGACTACAATTTTTATCCAAAAATACGAATACTTTTGCGAATAATCTATAATTTTTAAACAAAAAATTGATACGAAAAAAATGTATAAAAAATTCTTCAAATTGAAATAAAAAATTTTCATATTAATTTAGCATTCGTTTTCAGTTTGCAATGTTTTATTTCCTTTATTCTTTCAAGTTTTTAATCAGATGTAGAAAACATTGCACACAGCGCAATCGTCAATTAGAACACAATTTATTTACACGAAAATGTGATTATTAAATCATAACATTTACTTGCTTTTTAAGACTGAAAAATCCCTAGTCCCCTTCAGAACTTTAAATTGACATGCCATACTATAACATTTTATTATTGTAAGGTTTTGATACGAATTTCAATTCGTAAAATAATGTTAATGCAATGCTTTCAAATCTGTAACGAAAAAACAGAATATTCAAATTCTAGTTGAAATTAATCATT